AAGCAGAAGAAAGATCGGTTGGTCTTGCCGAAAAAGAACGTCGCTAAGCGATTTTCTTGTGCCCGAAATTAATACATTAATTAATATTAAATTAATAGCGCATCTGCTCTGTAATTTTCGTTCAGTGAGGCAGCTCCGGTGTTGTCGTAGGTCATAATTGTCTTGTTTATAAGCAGATTTAGTTTTTTCTCTACTTCGTCATAATACAGCAGAAGTGTCATGTTTCCTTGACGGAGTGTTGACATCTCCTGTTCTATTAAATATATCGGTCGTTTGTCCGCGTATGTCTCATTCTTTCCGGCAGGGACTTCATAATATCTAACGTTTCGCAGCACGCGATACATATTATGGCCTCCCTCTATGTTTCTACTTCTGGTGTGCCGAGATGTACACCACCTAATCGCTTCTGAACATCTTTTAATTTTTGCTAAAAGCTCTTTTCCTGCGCGTCGAGTGCGCTCGCAATTGCGCCTTCTATAATGGATTTTAGTTGTTCATTGGTCAATGCCATGTTTGAACTATTTTGTTGTGAACTTTCCGCGGTGTTTAGTTTTTGAAATCTGTCTAATGCTTCTATCTATCTAACGCTCATATGGTTTTTTTGTATTTAATTATTTCTAAAAAAAAATTTCCGAACTTGTGCCTTTTTTTTGACTGTTGGGTAGCCGCCGTTGCATCGGAGTGCATTGCCCGCTGATTGTGCTGACCGAAGCTTGGGATTTTGGCAACGTCGTTGTGCAACGTCCGCAGGTGTCGCTGGCCCTGCATTATTTTCTTCAATTATGCATGATCAGCTTGGGAACTTCCATTTTGCTGAGAAACAGTGTTAACTTATACACCCAAATAGCAGTTAATCAGCATTTCTTTGGTATCCAATTTCTACAAATAAGTATTGCACTTCTTGCTGAATTTGTACATACAAACTTGGATCTTATCTTTTTCTCACATATAATACATTGTAACCCCACCCATGACTATTTAAATTTTTCGTGTGACGCGTTGGGCATTTATATGACACATTTATAAGTTGAGAATCCTCAACAGCTCATGACAATTTGATCGATTTGGGTTTAAATTATTTAATTAGAATATTAGCTGACCACGCTGTCAAAAAATATTTATGAAGCGCCTTTGCCAAAATGATAAACATAAAATCCAAAATTAATGTAATATAGCTAAAAAAATGTAAAAAAAATGGGTATAAATGCGCGAAATTAATTTATTTTTAAAGGCCCGAACTAACAGCTTCCAGAGCAGCTAATTCATAGGGGGTGCAAATCTCCATTTAGTTCGGCCAAGCATTGCACGCAAAACGCCTCCCCTCCTACTTTTTCCTTTACGTTAACATATCCTCTTGAGATGCATCGCCCGCTTAAAGATCTTGTATTTTGGTTTGGTCAGCTGTTGGCGAGTCAAGGCCGATAAGATTTAAGCTCAGTTGGGTTTAATTTTATCTTTGGCATGACCCGATCGCCAGGAGCAGTGCTGATTTATCTTGCACGTGTTTTAATAATAATAATTGAAACCACTTGAAACCAAAAACTTGTATAATATTGCGCTCCCGTTTAGAGTATCCAATATCAAGTACACATTGATCATACTGAGTCGGTACAAAAAAAATTTCTTCTTTTTGCCCGTTGTGTTTTGAACTGGGATCAAAACGTAAGGTTGTATTCTTACTCTAGTATATTACTATTGCTTAATTTACCTACTCTTGTTAACCGTAAGCCGCTTAACTTTTAATGTGCCTTTTGGACCAACCCGCAACTACCATTTTCTTAACTGGCCCACATGTACCTTAAATTTTGGTCTGCATGAGCCCTTTCGTCTATATAATCAAATTTGCATTTCAACCTCTATCCCTGCACCGTACTTATTCCTATTTATTTAGTATTTTTTTTTAATGTCTCTATATTATTTTATTTGTGTTTTCCTCGCGAACTTGACAACTGCCCACTATGCTAACAACGTTCAACAATATGTAAATTGTTCCTTTTTAATGACATATATCACTTGTCCGCAGCATAACTAGCTTAGAACAGTCATAGCCTCGAAAAGCTTCGCTATTTTTTGTAAAATTAACATCTGCACACTTCAAAAATTTAATTTCCTTCGACTGCTATTTGTTATTAAGGTTATTAGGTCAAGTACGACGGCAGTTTTTTTTTGTTAGATTTGGTAGCAAGAAAATGTTGTATTTGTATTAAAAAGGTGCATCATACATGTTTTGTTTATTGTGTTGAGACCATGGATTGATTTTATAGAGAATTCTTTCATAGGTTTGATGTAATTTCGGAAGCCCCTGTTGTCAATTAAAAGTTGTATTTTTCTCCCTACGATATCCCTTTCTATGAATGGCAGCTGGGAGTTATGCCTAAAAAATTTATTTCATCGTATTTTACTAGATCATCGTCGATGTTACCACATTCCCCTTCGGCTACTGCCGGGTATTTATTATTGGTTTCATTGGTGGATCGTTTTCTAAGGCCAGATGGTTTATGCTCTGGTGTTTTGGTCCTGTATATCTAGTGCTACTACTATTGGGCCTTTTAATCGTCTGTCCCTGACTATTGTTACCTTTGGGTTGATTGTTTTGGTAAGTGTTTTGATTGGCCTTGAAAACGGTCTACTTTGTTGGTTTTGGGTTGGTTGTCTAAAACGGGATAATGAGAAATCAACGTTCATTGGTTGTGTCGGATCCTGTCTGTGTGGCTGTCTTAGTGGTATTTTATTAAAGTGAGGATTTTTTCCATGCTACGTGCTACGTGCAAAACTACTTGCGAACATGTATCGCTCATGATTAGCGTCTACTTCTTGGGTTAATGCTAAAGCAGAAGGAAGATCGTTTGGTCTTACCGAAAAAAGAACGTCGCTAAGCGATTTTCTTGTGCCCGAAATTAATACTCGTAGCGCATCTGCTCTGTAATTTTCGTTCAGTGAGGAAGCTACGGTGTTGTCGTAGGTCAGTTTTTTTCTCTACTTCGTCATAATACAGCATTCCTTGACGGAGTGTTGACATCTCCTGTTCTATTAAATATATCGGTCGTTTGTCCGCGTAGTTCTCATTCTTTCCTTCAAAGTCCGGCAGGGACTTCATAATGTCTAACGTTTCGCAGCACGCGATACCTATTATGATTTCGGCATCCCTTTATATTTCTTCTTTTGGTGTGCCGATATTTGCACCACCTAATCGCTTCTGAACATCTTGTCATTTTTGCTCAAAGCTCTTTTCCTGCGCGGCAAGTGCGCTTGCAACTGCGCCTTCTATAATGGATTTTAATTGTTCATTGGTCAATGCCATGTTTGAACTATTTTGTTGTGAACTTTAGTTTTTGAAATTTGTGTAATGATTCGATCTATCTAACGATCATATGATTTTAACACAAAGAATTTTATTCATTTTGTATTTAATTTTTTCTAAAAAAAATTTTCTGAACTTGTGCCTTTTTTTTGACTGTTGGGTAGCCGCCGTTGCATTGGAGTGCATTGTCCGCTGACTGCGCTGACCGAAGCTGGGGATTTTGGCAACGTCGTTGTGCAATGCTCGCACAACAGGCGTACATACATACAAACGAGAAAGTAGGAGAGCATTTGCAAGACGTAAAAGAATAAGAATCGAAAGGAAACAAAAATCACATTCATACATGGACTGCACAGCGTGACTTGCAGTAAATTGTTTCTTTACAACTCGTGTTAAATTTAAATAAATTCTTTTTTTAGCAGAGCCACGCTTCAAATTTTTTTAACAATCTTTTTTTATACAAGTTAGTTTTGAAATTTGAGTATAAAAATTGTTACACTGTTTATTTATTTTTTCTAGGCGCCGGTGTAAATTTCGACTGTCTGGAGTTTATTACCGTGGAGGAAATTAAGGATGCGATTCCGCCAATCGGAATTAGAGTACTCTTCCGCGAAAAGCTGTTCGCTTGGAGGAAAACAAAGGTAAGACATTATTATTTCTCTTTCCAAATTTCTTGGTAACTTTCTTTGTTTATTTTTATAGTTTACTCAAGGAATATCTTTGCAACCATCGTCTCCAAAGCCATCGCCACAAAAGGCACCGCCAGCACTTTTATCTCCGTTGCCGTCTAATGCACCTAAATTCAAATACACTCTTAACAAGATATGAGTCTTTAAGTTCTAATAATTATGTATATTTTCAGTATAATTGATAACCAATAACCTGAGTCTAACATTAATTATAATTACAAATTTTTCAAAGAGCTTGAATAAAACTTTAAGTGGAACGGCTGCTGGAAAAGAACTTCTAGCATGTAAAATACTGACTGAAAAGCAAAGAGGCATTCTCATTAATCTTATTATTGAGGAAATGAAAAACAATAACATCAACCTTCAAGTAAGCAGCTTTCCAAATTTGTTGGACGAGCTCTCCAATTTTTTTTCACACCTCCTCTTCATACTTATGTCTTAAATAATGATAAAAAAAAACTATAAGATTAAAATATATTTAGATTTATAATTTCGAATATAGATGTATAAAAAAAAAACAAATAAAAGCGAAAAATAAATAACGAAAAAAGATTTTTTTAAAATTTGTGGCTTGCCATTTTTACTGAACAAAAAAACCGTTCTCAACAGTCTCGATTTCAGTATTTCCGTGCTCAATATTGAGCCAAGAACTGATTTACTGAAATCAAGAAGACATTTTCTTAGATCGAGACTGATTTTTTAAGACTGAATATCCTGGATTTGAGAATAGGTCTTCTCGGTTCTCAGAACGAATAGGAATATAAATATAAATGCGCGAAATGAATTTATTTTTAAAGGCCCAGAACTAGCAGCTTCCAGAGCAGCTAATTCATAGGGGGTGCAAATCTCCATTTAAACTAGTTCGGCCAAGCTCTGCACGCAAAACGCCCTCTCCTAATTTTTCCTTTCCGTAAACATCTCCTCTTGAGATGCATCGCCCGGTTAAAGATCTCGTATTTTGGTTTGGTCAGCTGTTGGTTTTTTTAAATACACGTTGGCGAGTCTAGGCCGATAAGCTTTAAGCTCAGTTGGGTTTCATTTTCTCTTTGGTATACCCCGATCGCAGTGCTAATTTATCTTGCACGTGTTTTAATAATAATAATTGAAAGCACTTAAATAATAATTTTAACCACTTGAAACCAAAAATTTGTATAATATTGCGCTCCCGTTTAGAGTATCCAATATCAAGTACACATTGATCGTACTGAGTTGGTACAAAAAAAATTTCTTCCTTTTGCGCGTTGTGGTTTGAACTGGGATCAAAACGTAAGGTTGTATTCTTACTCTAATATATTACTATTGCTAAATTTACCTACTCTTGTAAATCGTAAGCCGCTTAACTTTTAATGTGCCTTTTGGACCAACCCGCAACTACCATTTTCTTAACTTGCCCACATGTACCTTAAATTTTGGCCTGCATGAGCCCTTTCGTGTTCTCTGTAATAATTATAAAAATCTATATAATCAAATTTGCATTTCAACCTCTATCCCTGCACCGTACTTAGTTTTAGTTTTATTTTTTTTTAATGTCCCTATATTATTTTATTTGTGTTTTCCTCGCGAACTTGACAACTGCCCACTATGCTAACAACGTTCAACAATATATAAATTGTTCCTTTTTAATGACATATATCACTTGTCTGCAGCTTAACTAGCTTAGAACAGTTATAGCCGTGAAAAGCTTTGCTATTTTTTTTTTAGCCTTTTCCAGCTAAATAAGCTGGTTTTTAAAAAAGTAAAACAAATTTTTTCCTCAACTTTTGTAAAATTAACATCTGCACACTTCAAAAATTTAATTTCCTTCGACTGCTATTAGTTATTAACTTTTTTTCTATTAGGTCAAGTACGACGTCAGTTTTTTTTAGTTTAGGTCCAATCCAATTATTCCATCAAACTTTGTTAGATTTGGTAGCAAGAAAATGTTGTATTTGTATTAAAAAGGTGCATTATACATTTTTTGTTTATTGTGTTGTGACCATGGATTGATTTTATAGAGAATGGTTTATTTACGAAAATAACGTTTTTTAATTCTGTCATAGGTTTGATGTAATTTCGAAACGCCTGTTGTCAATTAAAAGTTGTATTTTTCTCCCTACGATATCCCTTTCTATGAATGGCAGCTGGGAGTTATTCCTAAAAAATGTATTTCATCGTATTTTACTAGATCATCGTCGATGTTCCCACATTCTCCTTCGGCTACTGCCGGGTATTTATTATTGGTTTCATTTGGTGGATCGTTTTCTAAGGCCAGATGGTTTTTGCTCTGGTGTTTTGGTCCTGTATATCTAGTGCTACTACTATTGGGCCTTTAAATCGTCTGTCCCTGATTACTGTTACCGTTGGGTTGATTGTTTTGGTAAGTGTTTTGATTGGCCTTGAAAACGGTTTTTACTTTGTTGGTTTTGGGTTGGTTGTCTAAAACGGGATAATGAGAAATCAACGTTCATTGGTTGTGTCGGATCCTGTCTGTGTGGCTGTCTTGGTGGTATTTTATTAAAGTGAGGATTTTTTCCATGCTACGTGCTACGTGCAAAACTACTTGCGAACATGTATCGCTCATGATTAGCGTCTACTTCTTGGGTTAATGCTAAAGCAGAAGGAAGATCGTTTGGTCTTACCGAAAAAAGAACGTCGCTAAGCGATTTTCTTGTGCCCGAAATTAATACGCGTAGCGCATCTGCTCTGTAATTTTCGTTCAGTGAGCAAGCTACGGTGTTGTCGTAGTCAGTTTTTTTCTATACTTCGTCATAATACAGCATTCCTTGACGGAGTGTTGACATCTCCTGTTCTATTAAATATATCGGTCGTTTGTCCGCGTAGTTCTCATTCTTTCCCTCAAAGTCCGGCAGGGACTTCATAATGCCTAACGTTTCGCAGCACGCGATACCTATTATGATTTCGGCATCCCTTTATATTTCTTCTCTTGGTGTGCCGATATTTGCACCACCTAATCGCTTCTGAACATCTTGTCATTTTTGCTCAAAGCTCTTTCCCTGCGCGGCAAGTGCGCTCGCAACTGCGCCTTCTATAATGGATTTTAATTGTTCATTGGTCAATGCCATGTTTGAACTATTTTGTTGTGAACTTTAGTTTTTGAAATTTGTGTAATGCTTCGATCTATCTAACGATCATATGATTTTAACACAAAGAATTTTGTTCCTTTTGTATTTAATTTTTTCTAAAAAAATTTTCTGAACTTGTGCCTTTTTTTTGACTGTTGGGTTGCATTGGAGTGCATTGTCCGCTGACTGCGCTGACCGAAGGCGTACATACATACAAACGAGAAAGTAGGAGAGCATTTGCAAGACGTAAAAGAATAAGAATCGAAAGGAAACAAAAAACACATTCATACATGGACTGCAGCAGCGTGACTTGCAGTAAATTTTTACTTTACAACTCGTGTTAAATTTAAATAAATACTTTTTGTAGCAGAGCCACGCTTCAAATTTTTTTAACAATCTTATTTTATACAAGTTAGTTTTGAAATTTGAGTATAAAAATTGTTGCACTGTTTATTTATTTTTTTCTAGGCGCCGGTGTAAATTTCGACTGTCTGGAATTTATTACCGTGGAGGAAATTAAGGATGCGATTCCGCCAATCGGAATTAGAGTACTCTTCCGCGAAAAGCTGTTCGCTTGGAGGAAAACAAAGGTAAGACATTATTATCTCTCTTTCCAAATTTCTTGGTAACTTTCTTTGTTTATTTTTATAGTTTACTCTTCGCAGCCATCGTCTCCAAAGCCATCGCCACAAAAGGCACCGCCAGCACTTTTATCTCCGTTGCCATCTAATGCGCCTAAATTCAAATACACTCTTAACAAGGTATGAGTCTTTAAGTTCTAATAATTATGTATATTTTCAGTATAATTGATAACCAATAACCGAATCTAATATTAATTATAACACCAAATTTTTGAAAGAGCTTGAATAAAATTTTAAGTGGAAAGGCTGCTGGAAAAGAACTTCTAGCATGTAAAATACTGACTGAAAAGCAAAGAGGCATTCTCATTAATCTTATTACTGAGGAAATGTAAAACAATAACATCAACCTTCAAGTAAGCAGCTTTCCAAATTTGTTGGACGAGCTCTCCAATTTTTTCACACCTCCTCTTCAAACTTATGTCTTAAATAATGATAAAAAAAAACTATAAGATTAAAATATATTTAGATTTATAATTTCGAGTACAGATGTACAGATAGTTCGGCCAAGCTCTGCACGCAAAACGCCTCCCCTTCTAATTTTTCCTTTCCGTAAACATCTCCTCTTGAGATGCATCGCCCGGTTAAAGATCTCGTATTTTGGTTCGGTCAGCTGTTGGTTTATTTAAATACACGCTGGCGAGTCTTGGCCGATAAGCTTTAAGCTCAGTTGGGTTTAATTTTATCTTTGGTATGCCCCGATTGCACGCAGCAGTGCTGATTTATCTTGCACGTGTTTTAATAATAAAATTTGAAAGTACTTCTTTTTGCCCGTTGTGGTTTGAACTGGGATCAAAACGTAAGGTTGTATTCTTACTCTAGTATATTACTATTGCTTAATTTACCGACTCTTGTAAATCGTAAGCCGCTTAACTTTTAATGTGCCTTTTGGACCAACCCGCAACTACCATTTTCTTAACTTGCCCACATGTACCTTAAATTAGCTTAGAACAGTTATAGCCGTGAAAATCTTCGCTATTTTTTTTTAGCGATTTCCAGCTTAATAAGCTGGTTTTTAAAAGAGTAAAACAACATTTTTTCCTCAACTTTTGTAAAATTAACATCTGCACACTTCAAAAATTTAATATCCTTCGACTGCTTTTTGTTATTCAGGTTAAAAGGTCAAGTACGACGTCAGTTTTTTTTAGTAGGTCCAATCCAATTATTCCATCAAACTTTGTTAGATTTGGTAGCAAGAAAATGTTGTAATTGTATTAAAAAGGTGCATTATACATTTTTTGTTTATTGTGTTGTGATCATGGATTGATTTTATAGAGATTGATTGGATTGATTTTCATAGGTTTGATGTAATTTCGGAAACCCCTGTTGTCAATTAAAATGTGATTTTTCTCCATGCGATATCCCTTTCTATGAATGGCAGCTGGGAGTTATGCCTAAAAAATGTACTTCATCGTATTTTACTAGATCATCGTCGATGTTCCCACATTCCCCTTCGGCTACTGCCGGGTATTTATTATTGGTTTCATTTGGTGGATCGTTTTCTAAGGCCAGATGGTTTATGCTCTGGTGTTTTGGTCCTGTATATCTAGTGCCTTTTAATCGTCTGTCCCTGAATTTTGTTACCGTTGGGATGATTGTTTTGGTAAGTGTTTTGATTGGCCTTGAAAACGGTCTACTTTGTTGGTTTTGGGTTGGTTGTCTAAAACGGGATAATGAGAAATCAACGTTCATTGGTTGTGGCGGATCCTGTCTGGGTGGCTGTCTTGGTGGTATTTTACGTGCAAAACTACTTGCGAACATGTATCGCTCATGATTAGCGTATACTTCTTGGGTTAATGCTAAAGCAGAAGATAGATCGGTTGGTCTTGCCGAAAAACGAACGTCGATAAGCGTTTTTCTTGTGCCCGGAATTAATACTCGTAGCGCATCTGCTCTGTAATTTTCGTTCAGTGAGGCAGCTCCGGTGTTGTCGTAGGTCATAATTGTCTTGTTTATTAGCAGAGTCAATTTTTTCTCTACTTCGTCATAATACAGCAGAAGTGTCATGTTTACTTAACGGAGTGTTGACATCTCCTGTTCTATTAAATATATTTGTCGTTTGTCCGCGTAAGTCTCATTCTTTCCCTCAAAGTCCGGCAGGGACTTCATAATATCTAAAGTTTCGCAGCACGCGATACCTATTATGATTTCGGCATTCCTCTATGTTTCTACTTCTGGTGTGCCGAAATTTACACCACCTATTCGCTTCTGAACATCTTGTAATTTTTGCTCAAAGCTCTTTTCCTGCGCGTCGAGTGCGCTCGCAATTGCGCCTTCTATAATGGATTTTAATTGTTCATTGGTCAATGCCATGTATGAACTATTTTGTTGCGAACTTTCCGCGGTGTTTAGTTTTTGAAATTTACTTGAGTAAGAATACTTGAGTAAGAATACAACCTTACGTTTTGATCCCAGTTCAAACTACAACGACCGACTCAATACGATTAATGTTTACTTGATATTGGGTACTCTAAATGGGAGCGCAATATTATTCAAGTTGTTGGTTTTAAGTGGTTTCAATTATTATTATTATTAAAACACGTGCAAGATAAATCAGCACTGCTCCGGGCGATCGGGTCATGCCAAAGATAAAATTAAACCCAACTGAGCTTAAATCTTATCGGCCTAGACTCGCCAACAGCTGACCAAACCAAAATACGAGATCTTTAAGCGGGCGATGCATCTCAAGAGGAGATGTTTACGTAAAGGAAAAAGTAGGAGAGGAGGCGTTTTGCGTGCAGAGCTTGGCCGAACTAGTTCAAATGGAGATTTGCACCCCCTATGAATTACATGCTCTGGAAGCTGTTAGTTCGGGCCTTTAAAAATAAATTCATTTACATATTACATTTATAACATATTACATATATTACATTTATTTTGGCTTTTTAGTTTATCATTTTGGCATAGGCGCTTCAAAAATATTTTTTGACAGCGTGGTCGCTAATATTACAATTAAATAATTTAAAACCAAATCGATCAAATTGCCATGCGTTGTTGAGGATTCTCGGAAAGAAGAGAGCTGTTGTGAAAACGGTAAGTTCCAAGTTTGTATCAAGTAGTGCAATACTTATTTGCAGAAATTGGATACCAAAGAAATGCTGATTAACTGCTTATTGGGTGTATAAGCTAACACGGTTTCCCAGCAAAATGGAAGTTCCCAAGCTGATCATGCATAATTGTACAAAATAATGCAAGGTCAGCAACACCTGCGGTCGTTGCACAACGACGTTGCCAAAATCCCAAGCTTCGGTCAGCACAATCAGCGGGCAATGCACTCCGATGCAACGGCGGCTACCCAACAGTCAAAAAAAAGGGCACAAGTTCTGAAACTTTTTTTTAGAAAAATTTAAATACAAAAGGAACAAAATTCGTTGTGTTAAAATCATATGAGCGTTAGATAGATAGAAGAATTGTTAGACAGATTTCAAAAACTAAACATGGCATTGACCAATTAAAATCCAATGTTTTACTTTTTTAAAACCAGCTTATTTAGCAGGAAATCGCTAAAAAAAATAGCGAAGCTTCTCACGGCTATAAGTATTCTAAGCTAGTTAATCTGCAGACAAGTGATATATGTCATTAAAAAACTAAAACTAAGTACGGTGCAGGGATAGAGGTTGAAATGCAAATTTGATTATAAAGATTTTTATAATTATTACAGAGAACTAAAAAGGGCTCATGCAGGCCAAAATTTAAGGGAGATTTTGGCAAGTTAAGAAAATGGTAGTTGCGGGTTGGTCCAAAAGGTACATTAAAAGTTAAGCGGCTTACTAATTCTATGGAGTCAATATCACCTTCGACCAGATTGTGCATACAAATAGAGTAGGTAAATTAAATTAGTAGAGCTGATTTATCTTGCACGTGTTTCAATAATAATAATTGAAAGCACTTTAATAATAATAATTTTAATCACTTGAAACCAAAAACTTGTATAATATTGCGCTCCCGTTTAAAGTATCCATTATCAAGTACACATTGGTGGTATTGAGTCGGTACAAAAAAAATTTCTTCTTTTTGTCCATTGTGGTTTGAACTGGGATCAAAACGTAAGGTTGTATTCTTACTCTAGTATATTACTATTGCTTAATTAACCTACTCTTGTAAATCGTAGAATCATGCTTAAAACTATTTTTATGCACAATCTTGTCGAAAGTTTTATTGACTCCATACAATTGGTAAGCCGCTTAACTTTTAATGTGCCTTTTGGACCAACCCGGAATTACCATTTTCTTAACTTGCCCACATGTACCTTAAATTTTGGCCTGCATGAGCCCTTTCGTGTTCTCTGTAATAATTATAAAAATCTATATAATCAAATTGCATATCAACCTCTATCCCTGCACCGTACTTAGTTTTAGTTTTTTTTTTGTAAATGTCCCTATATTATTTTATTTGTGTTTTCCTCGCGAACTTGACAACTGCCCACTATGCTAACAACGTTCAACAATATATAAATTGTTCCATTTTAATGACATATATCACTTGTCTGCAGCTTAACTAGCTTAGAACAGTTATAGCCGTGAAAAGCTTTGCTATTTTTTTTAGCCATTTCCAACTTTTGTAAAATTAACATCTGCACACTTCAAAAATTTAATTTCCTTCGACTGCTATTAGTTATTAACTTTTTTTCTATTAGGTCAAGTACGAGTCAGTTTTTTTAGTAGGTCCAGTCCAATTATTCCATCAAACGTTGTTAGATTTGGTAGCAAGAAAATGTTGTATTTGTATTAAAAAGGTGCATTATACATTTTTTGTTTATTGTTTTGTGACCATGGATTGATTTTATAGAGAATGGTTTATTTACGAAAATAACTTTTTTTAATTCTATCCTAGGTTTGATATAATTTCGGAAACCCCTGTTGTCAATTAAAAGTTGTATTTTTCTCCCTGCGATATACCTTTCTATGAATGGCAGCTGGGAGTTCTGCCTAAAAATGTATTTCATCGTATTTTACTAGATCATCGTCGATGTTCCCACATTCCCCTTCGGCTACTGCCGGGTATTTATTATTGGTTTCATTTGGTGGATCGTTTTCTAAGGCCAGATGGTTTATCCTCTGGTTTTTTGGTCCTGTATATCTAGTGGTACTACTATTGGGCCTTTTAATCGTCTGTCCCTGATTACTGTTACCGTTGAGTTGATTGTTTTGGTAAGTGTTTTGATTGGCCTTGAAAACGGTCTACTTTGTTGGTTTTGGGTTGGTTGTCTAAAACTGGATAATGAGAAATCAACGTTCATTGGTTGTGTC